ACTGTGCTTGATATAATGCATTCACGGAAATGTAATATTTTTGCTGAAATGACGAGGTATTAGTGGAAAGTGGATAAAATCGACAAAAACAATGACTTTCGCTTTTCGTTCAAAAGATGTTACCGTAATCGCTTTTCGATTGTTTTCAGTTAAAACTGTTGTATTACATTAATATCCTATCCTAATTGACTTGAATAAATACTACGATACCATATTTCTGAATATTTTCATTAAAATCCATCCAAATCATTTTCCTTGTCATCGCCTGCAGCACCAAACAGCTTCCCAGTCCTCTCCTTGAACAGGGCTAGAGGGTAATGGTTTCGAATCGTTTTCAGTTAAAAACTGTTACATCACATGTATATTTTACCTAAACTGCTTCGAATGAATATATTCTTGGAAATATATAGTAGTTTTGCTGAAACGTGATGTATTTTAATGTAAAATAGGATAAAATACATGACGAAAACAAAAGACTTTTCCTAACCTTCCGATGTTCTAGAGAAGTTACCGTTTTTTAAAGTTTTCGTATTCTATACATAATGTGCTTGATATAATACATTCACGGAAATGTAATATTTTGCTGAAAGTTGACGTATTACAGTGGAAAGTGGGATAAAATCGTGACGAAAACAATGACTTTGAAATATAATGCAATATTAACCCCTAAATCGGTTAATTCGGACAATCGGCTAAAACGGACACCCTTCCCCCCCTATTAGTCCGAATTAACAAGGGTCGACTGTATTGACTCTATATCTGTATTTTCCAGGCTAAATAGACTTTCAATATCAATATATCAATATCAGTGAATTTAATGCTAAGTGTGACAATAGTAATTCTTATAATGCTCAGTGTGACAGTAGTAAGTCTTATAATGCTCAGTGTGACAGTTGTAAGTCTAATAATACTCAGTGTGACAGTAGTAAGTGCCAGTACCAAAGTTGTGAAAAATTTTACCTTCTACACTGAATTTTTGAGGTTGAGAAATTAATCATATCACAAGAAGTTAATAAAGTGATAGTACAGTACAGTATATTACTTCATACCATTACCAGTGTTTCTTGAAAATAAATTCTCAAATTTTTGCAGATGTTGAATGGTGTGAGTACGAGTTTGTCTAATACCAAGAGCATTAAGATGGTGTCTTCAGGCGACTCACCCGTGGGGGCACAAAAGTTGACACAAGAGGTCATCAACATTACTTGCTGTGTCCCTGACATGGTTAAGAATATGACTGGGGTTGATATTCTGAAGGTGAGCTTTTAATGAGGTGATAATTTAGTGTTTTAAAACCTATAGGAAGATTTGAAAGATGGTTGTGTTATTGTAGATTGTTGTGAAGATTACCTGGTGGAAGTGTTGTAGAGATAGTTGTAGATTGGTTGTGGTATATTACAGTAGATTGTAGTTAATATAAGAGGAGATAAACAATTGATATAGATCAAGTATGAAGAATTTTATGAAAACAAATAGAAGTGGAAGTTTTAGCATTGTCTACACCGAATGTTTGAGAAAGTACAGGAGTTTGTAGTTATTAATATTCTGACAACATATGGACAACAACACCATCCTTCTCAGTGTTAAGTCTAAATGATGAGATTAAATTCTACAAAATTAAAAGATTAAAGGCAAGATGTACAGTAGTTCTAGCCACTTGTTATATGAATGAAATAACTAAAAAAACTCTCCAGTTTTACTTATATAGTACAATTTACAGTACTGTACTTGTGTTGATCCAATCCATAATTTTTCACTTTTTAGAATCCATTGTTATACACATTTTTCAAAGTAAATATTGTTAAGTATTATAAGAATGTTGATATGATTATACTTAACACTTAACCTGAAAGACTGATTGGTGCCATTTTATCTTTCAGACTCTGAGTGTTGCATAAGCGGGTCATATTAAGAAATTTATTTTCGAGAGGAAACTTATGAGTACAGCATGTACCCAATGTTTAATAACAGTTGTTTGGTACTGTATATCTGTATGTTTTTACACTTACCCACAAAAGTCCTGTCGCCTCACATCCTGAGCCACGAACCCCGAGATTCAGACTCGTGAATCTGAACCATTTATGGTCAGAATGATGCGTCAGTGTCTACTGCCTCGGGTGCACAAGGCGAGGGGACAGGACTTTTGTGGGTGATTGACTGTACAGTGGTAGTAAAGTAACAGCAGTTGTTATGCATGTATGTACACTTGCCACAAAAAGTTCTCGAACAACTGGGCTTGACAGATTTCAGAATGAACACTATGGCTTGTGTCATCTCAGAATGGTTAGTGTGCCTGGTTGAGAAGTGACTCTCAATATTTTATAATAATATATGTTATTTGTTTTTACAGTAAAAGTGTTTACAGTTTAAAAGAAGAGATTTAATTTGAAATAAAACTTCCTCAAAGAGCAATGTTCTGATTTCTCATTCATTTTGACATATTTTATGAACCTTAGGGCATTCGAGAACTTTTTGTGGTGAGTGTTCACATGTAATAAAGTCAATAATAAGTTGCATGTACCATTATTAAAATTATATTATTGTTGAATACAGTAGTAGTTATGTAGTAGTAAAGCAATGTACAGTGGTTGAACATGGTATTATTGCTACTGATAACCACTTCAGTTTGAATTATAAGGCTGAACCACAGTGGGTGTCAGCCAGAACCACAGTGGGTGTCAGCCAGAACCACAGTGGGTGTCAGCCAGAACCACAGTGGGTGTCAGCCAGAACCACAGTGGGTGTCAGCCAGAACCATAGTGTGGGTCAACTTGGGAATGATTGACTGTGTATTGTATATTCTCGAGTCCTTCCTTCCTGTATTGATTATTGGAGTAGCGGCATCTATTGTTTGAGTTTGTCTTGTTTCCTTTACTTTATCTTTAGTTTATGTATCTTATCATTATCCTCTACCATCTTGCTTTACTTTATCCTTTTTGCCATTGATCAGCTTGTTAGCCTCTTGGGCAGTTAGTTATGTCTCTGTTACACACTGTTGGAAGTACATTTCATGTGTTTTTACAATTGTCTTAAAATGTTTCATTGATGCATTCAGTCATTCCTTGTTAAAGTCTCTATTATGTAGAACATTGGCTTGATAAGACCTTGTTTCTGCTTCCTTCAGTATCATTTCAAGAACTACTATTACTGTATCTCATGCTTTGGTCCTCTTCATGGGCTATTTGCTCATTAGGTGTATCAGGTGCTGTGTGAAATAATTCAAGACCAAACTTGACCAACACCTGTGGAGTTACAGATACATTCTGCAGCCAGTACATGCCCAGTACTTGCTAATAGTTTGTAAAAGAGATGTAACGAAATGGCTGGCAAGTTTATAAGTGGTGTAGAGGATAAAATAAAGACATTCTGGCACCAGTACATGACCAGTACTTGCCAAGAATGTGCAGCAGAGAGCCAGTACATGACCAGTACTTGCCAAGAATGTGTAACAGAGAGCCAGTACATGCCCAGTATTTGCTAACAGTGTGCAACAGAGCCAGTACATGACCAGTATTTGCTAACAATGTGTAACAGAGAGCCAGTATTTGCTTACTTTGTAACAGACACATGACCAACCTCCCAAGTGGCTGTCAGGTGGCATAGAGTAAAGATTTTTGATACATTTTAAACTTGATCCATTTCTTCAGTCCATATTTTGTGTTAAAACTTTCAAGTGCTGAGAGTCTGAGGTGCTGCCCTTCATCATGGAAATAATAAAGTATACTACCCATGCTCCCCCCCCCCCCCTTATCTCCCCAGGTTATGGGGAACATTTTCTAATACAATGATAATTAAAAAAACAATGATTTTTGCATAAGGAATAAATATTTGTTCATTGACTGGTGAAGGAAGTGTTTACTGTACATACCTACTGTACAGTTTACTGTATGTTTGGTGAACAAAAACTTAGCAGGTATTAGTTCTTAAAAACTTTTCTTCACAAAATCTTGATACTTTAAGTGAATTTAGGTGATTTTTTATGCACAAAACATTGTTCACCTGTATTAAGCAACATTTTTGTTTGTACATGAAACTTTTTTATTACTTTGGCTACAAAATGATCTTTGTATTATCATTTATTGTAATAGTTATCAGTTGCTTCCCTGGAAAAATTTTTATCAAAAGAATTTATATGTACTGAATCTGTTATTACTATACAGTGTACTATACTATACTATACTACTGTATACCAGGGCCGGATTCAGGAGTGGGCAAAGTGGGCAGCTGCCCAGGGGCCTCCACATGTGCGGTAGTAGCTATATCAGGGCTGGTCGACTTGAAACCACATGAATGACTCCATTCATGTTTCACTTTTGTGTGTGTGTTGGGAATTTGTACACTATCAATAAATATACAATTAATTAAAAATTTCTCAATGTTCTAATTTCCTCAATATACTGCATATGGCTTCAAAATTCTCCAAAGAAGTATTCAAATTTCAAAATTTTCCTGGGGGTCTTACAGCGCCCCCCGGAACTCCCAGATGTTTAGGCTCGCTTCACTCGCCACCCCACCCTCTTGGGTAGTTATAATGAGGGGAGCCTCCACAAAGAGGCTGCCCATGGGCCTCCACAGGTCTAAATCCGGCACTGTTGTATACTATACAATACTATATTATACAGTACTATACTGTACTGCTCTGTACTGTACTGTACTGTACGTTTACTCAGAAAACAATAAGTTATGTAATAATATATCCAATAAACTGAAAGTAATTAAAATTTGTATAAATAAATGAAGAACATTTGACATGTCAGTTATGGAGGTGGTAAACAGACTTTGTTGAGTTAGGTTTATTACCTCTTGATTCTCCATGTTCAGTACTCAACCAACGTGAATTTTTACAACATTTTACTTCATAAGCATCTGTGTATTTATTCATCCATCTATCTGCTTGCCAGTAGTGTGATGAGAGAACTGTCTGACTGTCGACCGACTATAGTGGCACGGAAGATAAAGTAAGGTAAGATGTGGCTCATGAGGTGTCATAGTTACCCACATGTATTGCAACTCTTTATTCTGTCATTATTGTTTTGAAATATAACAATTATTATGTTTTAGTATCTGTACCAAAAATAATTTAGACTACCAATGTAGGTATTAAACCTGTTCTTTTGGTTGTGTAGATTTCCATTAAAGAAAAGGAATTCTTGTGAGAGAATTTTTTTAATGTGACTGAATGGACTCAAGAATTATTAGGCTAATTTCAATCCTTAGATGATGTCATTTAGGTTCACACATAGTAGCAGATGGTTGTCATTGTAGGTTTACACATAGTGGCAGATGGTTGTCATTGTAGGTTTACACATAATGGCAGATGGTTGTCATTGTAGGTTTACACCTAGTGGTAGATGGTTGTCATTGTAGGTTTGCACATAGTGGCAGATGGTTGTCATTGTAGGTTTACACCTAGTGGCAGATGGTTTTCATGTGGGTTTACACATAGCAGCAGATGGTTGTCATTGTGGGTTTATGCATAGCGGCAGATGGCAGCAGCTTTTCTAGTGTCACACTTAGCATCAATCCAATAATAGCCACCGTTTTTATAGAGGATGGCACAGTTCGAGGTTGTGTCTTTGTGAGGGTACTTTTCCAACCAGTAGGGGACTCCCAGACGTGCTGCCTTGCCTGTCTTCATGTACCTATGGGAGGAGGGATAGGGGAGTCAACTTGGGCTCACAGAGATATTTATTCAGTGAAATCATTATACAGTACAAGTTTACAGTTGTTTCAGTATCTTCTGTGTATAGACAATACAGGTAATGTATACAGTTATCATGTATTGAACATATTTACCTAATGGCCACCCAAACTGGAGGTGGCCATGCCAAAAGAAGGACAATGGTCTGAGAAAAAAATTAGCATTTCAGAGATGTACCTGATTATCTTCTATATATTACAGTAAAGTACAGTATACAGTTTAGCTACAGAGAGAAGGAGCTTTGGCAAATAGTAAAACTGTAGTGAATTTATATAACCACCACTAACAACCACAAACACCCACAACATCCACCACTAAAAACACACACAACAGCCACCACTAAAACACCCACAACAGCCACCACTAAAACACCCACAACAGCCACCACTAAAACACCCACAACAGCCACCACTAAAACACCCACAACAGCCACCACTAAAACACCCACAACAGCCACCACTAAAACACCCACAACAGCCACCACTAAAAACACCCACAACAGCCACCACTAAAACACCCACAACAGCCACCACTAAAACACCCACAACAGCCACCACTAAAACACCCACAACAGCCACCACTAAAACACCCACAACAGCCACCACTAAAACACCCACAACAGCCACCCACCACTAAACACCCACAACAGCCACCACTAAAACACCCACAACAGCCACCACTAAAAACACCCACAACATCCACCACTAAACACCCACAAACAGCCACCACTAAAACACCCACAACATCCACCACTATAACACACCACAACAGCCACCACTAAAACACCCACAACAGCCACCACTAAACACCCACAACAGCCACCACTAAAACACCCACAACATCCACCACTAAAACACCCACAACAGCCACCACTAAAACACCCACAACAGCCACCACTAAAAACACCCACACACCACTAAACACCCACAACATCCACCACTAAAACACCCACAACAGCCACCACTAAACACCCACAACAGCCACCACTAAAACAACCCACAACAGCCACACTATAACACCCACAACCGCCACCACTAAAACACCCACAACATCCACCACTAAAACACACACAACAGCCACCACTAAAACACCCACAACAGCCACCACTAAAACACCCACAACAGCCACCACTAAAACACCCACAACAGCCACCACTAAAACACCCACAACAGCCACCACTAAAACACCCACAACAGCCACCACTAAAACACCCACAACAGCCACCACTAAAACACACCCACAACAGCCACCACTAAAACACCCACAACAGCCACCACTAACACCCACAACAGCCACCACTAAACACCCACAACAGCCACCACTAAAACACCCACAACAGCCACCACTAAAACACCACAACAGCCACCACTAAAACACCCACAACAGCCACCACTAAAACACCCACAACAGCCACCACTAAAACACCCACAATAGCCACCACTAACACCCACAACAGCCACCACTAAAACACCCACAACAGAGAGTGATGACTGACCACCGTAGGGTCAAGACCTATTTAGGCGCTGCTCCTGCTAGCAGCTCTCCCACTTGGCCAATGTTCGGCCCATTCCCCAGTCCTCTCCCCGACCCATCCTCACCACCGGGATATCAACATAAGAACCAGTGTTGAACAGCGAACAGTGTTTAAGCCAATGAATTCAGCACTAAACAGTACCAGTGAGAACCTGACTCACCAGTGAGATAAGCACCCCTGGGAACTGACCGCCATCTCCTGACAGAGGTGCTAATCAGTCCACCCTGAGAACAACAGTGGGTCGGCTTCACACTTGACTTCGAAATAACACAACACCACCCAGTAGGGTGGGGATAAGTCAACAACTGCAAATGTTGCCTGTATAACAAGTGAACTAACGTGGGTTGAGCACTGTGTCTGTGTAGGTGTAGGTGCCCGCGAGGCAAGGCCTATACCCTTGTGGTCACGCTCGGCCAAGCTGGTTAGTTCTTTTGAAACTAAAATTGACTTTGATACTGTATCTAACCAGAAAAACAGAGATACTATTAAGAACAAGTGTAGTGTAATAAAAGTGTTTATAAACTGAGAATACTCCTGCTACCTTAGTCCCTCCGACACCACACTCCCTCCGCGGAGGCCGCTCATGGCCTCCCTTCACACCCGCTAATGCGCTGTAGATGCCAGTCTCCTTTGTCCTCTAAGAGCGTTACGCCTCTCAACCACCCTGACTTCCTAGGTGCCAGCAGTCCTCGTCCCTCTGACGTAGGCATATAAGTCGAGTCCTGTAACTCCACCATGTCTGAGTTGACTGGAGACCCAGCTACTCCTTTAACTCTCCTGATGCACTGAGTGAGCCAGGCGACTGTGGTGTTGAACTTGACACAAGGAGAGGATGGCTTTCAACTAGTTCAGTCCAGGAACAAGCGGAAGGCCGAAAAAGCAGAAAAACTTAGAGACCATCAGCTACAACCACAACCCCCATGAGAGTAAGATTATACTTCCTGAAGGTACATCACTGAAGACAAGTATCTCTGGCTGAACGATGCGGAAGACAAACACCCAGAGGCTGAGTTTCAGTTCAGAGTCGGTACACGAGATCATGTTCTGATAAGAAACGACCCAGCAGTCATACAGGATCTCCTCACCAATAGCATAAGAATAACCATGGAACAATCATCCCAACCATCGAACAAAACCATCTTAATCAGGGCTCGACAAGTACCAGACTACACTACTAGAAGCTCATCCCGACATCAGAAGGACGAAGCGACTCAGGGGCAGAATGCAGTCATTGCAGACTGTATAATGAGGCGAGGAGGGCGTGGGTTAACGTATAGTTCGCTGCCACCACTGTAATGAGACAAATCTCACAAGAAGAAGATTACATATAAGTAGGAGAAGTATAGAGAGTAGGAATGTAAAGATAGGAAACTTGGTAGCGTGGCGGGATGTTATTTACTCAGCGTCAATACGCTTATCTTATCTCGTATGCCAATACACATATATCACTTCTTAAAGGGACAACTTGTTAACACCTCTTCGATACAACTATTTATTAATTCACTCAATGACATGGACACTTTAATATCACTATTATATCGGGGTACTAACACATTATGTTTTACGTTACTC